TACTATTACGAGTACTTATAGTCTTCTATAACACAGATAATGATAAAAATAATAATGTTAAAATAATTACATCTGAGAATGATAAGCGAAAATCTGAGAAAATTAGGAACCAAGGGTTAGACCCGTGTGCACGAGTCCAGCATGTCAACTCATTAGTTAAATTGATTTTATTCTTAGATTATTTTACATTAACTAAATAACGGAAATTTTCAAGAAGGGAAATCTGTAAAGTACGAATGTAGGCTCCATGAATTCTGCCCCGAACTGTTTCCAGTATTTCGAGCTTGTATTGTGTGATGCCGTGTAGTTTGGTACCAATGTTTCGAAAGTACCTGCAACCTCATCTTCTACCCTGTACAGAGGGACATCAGGTTCCTCCAAAACCTTGTTACCAGTCTACCAACTTAAGCAATCTCCTTTCCCCCACTCTTTAACGCTATGTGCACATAAAATCGTGTCTTAATTGAAGTGACAGCAGCGGTCGCCCTCCTGCAGAGCCCCATGTTCACACATTCCAGAGCAGTAATTCTCTACTATTTACATCTCAGTTTCATAATGTGAATCTGTAAATTTGGCTGTATGTAAGGTAAGCGTGGAGCGTAGTGCACAGGTTCATTATGCAAGGTCAAGTTTTAACTCTTCCCTCAATTATGGGACGATCTTAATTATAACGGTAACAATAATTAGTGTAACACTCGTTGTGAATTTAACTGATATTTCTCTTCATTTCGTACTGTTAACGTCCTCTGCTGTCTCGTATATTCCTTTCCAGTTCTACACGTTATGGGACCAAATGTCGAGGCTTATCTCCAACAAATAACACGAACAAATAGTCAATCGTACAGAGTCTCTTTTATATGGCGCATTACACTTCACACATCAACATGAATATATTATCAAAACAGGTTAAACACGACATATTGAAATAAAAGACTGTTCGCTCGTTCGTGAAATACTACACGACCTGCGTTAATGCAACGTAACAATTTGTTCATAATGGTATGAAAATAAAATTAATAGCAATAATTCAATGTATCCGGTAGTGTAGTTAGTCGAGACACTATACTACAAGCCGGAAAGTCACGGGTTCGATTTCCGATGAGGTTACTGAAAATTTAAATTACCTAATCCTTCCAGCCACACAATGCCCCTGGGGTCGACTCAGCCTCTAACAGAATGAGTACCAGGAATCTTCCTGAGGGTAAAGGGCGGTCAGCGCGTAAGACTTACTTCACCGTCATATGTGAACCGTCTAGAAAATGTGGGAGCCTCGACGTCTCACAACCCTATGGGCCTCTACGGCCTGTTACACGGATAGCTTTACCAGGTTTGTGTTGGGTTTCTGAGTAATCTTACAGCGCTGTCATTAAAGCAGACTATACAGCTTCGAGCAGTAGGGTAACAGACGAATGCCGAATTGGAAAGGGAAGCGGTCGTGGCCTAACTGAGGTACCACCCTGGAATTTACCTGGAGAGATCAAGAGAAACCACGGAAAATCTGTCAGTATATCCGATGGACCCGGTAGGGACTCATCCCGAACACTCCCTGCATACTAGTGCAGGGCACTTCCGACAGAACAACCTGCTGTGTTCAAGTGTTGCCACATAAGTTGTTCCTCCGGAAATTAACATGTTCCTGACGTCGACTTAACAGCCACAGGCACTCACTCACTCGCTGCATGTCCCGGGGGGAAGAGGGCGCCACAGCGAACACTCACGGGGGCGGAAGCAACCATAGGATTTACATATTCCATAATTTACTCAGTCGACGCTCCGAACGAACACAAAACAGCGTGAGGGTAAGCAGCATTACCTTCACGGGTGTGGCCCTGTGTAGTCCGGTTGAAGTTCACCGACATTTCGGACTAATGCACTGCCTCAATGCTCAGTGTCGATGCCAAGCATGCAATCAGGGAGAAGCACTGAGAACCAACTGCTTACTGCTTCTTTGGCTTATGTCATCCTGAAGATGGAGGCAATAAGTGCATCCGAAACGTCGGCAAACTATGAGACTATACAAGATCACGCCTCAGAATACTGTACTCTTCACAGTCGTGGAAATCAGAACTTAACATCCGACATAGGCCGAGGGTGTTTGGGAACAGGCTGCTGAGGAGAATACGTTTGCGTAAGACACAGCGACTGATTCAAGGATGAAGAATATTACATAGTGAAGAAAAGTCGCTTTTGTGTTTCATTAAGCATCGTGCCATGAAGACGTATGGAAGAGTTGAGGCAGAACTCCAGGTATTCTTAACCTAGAGCGCAAGGAAAGACTCAAGGTACTTTTACAGACTTCTGCGTTTTACGTCTTAGGCACAGTGAAGTGATAAAGAGTCCAGTGTAGCAGTTTGACTATCACATATTCCTAATGACGGCCTCATACGGTCGAAACACGTCGTAAAATGCGAGGGAGTCAGTAAATAGGTCACAAATTAATAAAACGTAAAACACGTGTCATTCGAACCTGGAATAAAAACATTTATTTCTCGACATATCCCCCACCAACACTGATTACACGTGTCCCATCGCTTCAACAGTGCGTCGTAACCCGCAGCACAGAAGTATTTTGGCTGTTGTCTCAGCCACTTCCGCACCTCCGTTTCAACGTCGTCAACAGCGAAACGTCTTCCAGCAATATGTGAACCGCTTTACGTGACAGCTTCCCACCGTAAACATGAAACATTTCTTAATGAGTGTCCTCTGCATCGAGTCCTCTTGCCCACAAAAATAAAACAGAACGCTGCTCTTCTGTAATACACTACTCAAGCACGGTCGCCATTTTGACTACTGAAACCAGCCTCTGAACTTACGCATGCGCGTCTGATACCGAGACAGTCATAAAACTACACTGTGCTGCCACCTAGCGATACACATAGAAACCTTATTACGTCCAGTGCAGCTGTTTTACTTCTATTTGTGACTTATTTACTGGATCTCCTTTGTATGAGACATAAACATGCGGAGTTTAAGGAAAAATCTTTAGAGTGTTACACATACAAAACTGCACTGCGTATACATATCAAGAGCGCCGTACAATAAACCACTAAGGAGAGCTACTTCGGTCTCAAAGGAGCCTGAATAAAAGAAACAAAGAAGGGAAATTAATTCGACAACTGAAGAAGGAAACAGACAGAGGCCTGATGTAGATGGACAACTCTCCACATTTCAGTATCTCTACAGCAAGACAAAAGGACCAATGAGTGGAAAATACAGAATGCCATCTAAATTATAGTTGTTCTGTATCATAGAGTTCTTGCATTTGTTTTCCTTGCTTGTGACACTTCTTGTGGTAGGGTTAAGCATTTTCTCTCCTCCTCGTCGTCCAGACCGACTCTGGGGTCCACCCAACCTCCTATGTAATGGGTACTGGGAGCTCTGTCCTGGTAGTAAAGCGGCCGGGGCATGAAGCTGATCACCCAGCCCCAACTAGTGCCGAGGTCAAGATAACTTGGATCTATACATCTACCGTCCCATACGCCTTCATGGCAGAGTGCTTAATTAGTGAAACATAGGGACAACTTTACCTTTTTATCTAATCGTGACAGACGGCAGCGCTGACTGAACAGCACTGAATGACTGCATCACAGTAAATCACCATTCACTGAATGGAAAGCAAGATTAAGGGAGGGGTTGTGATCTAATCTGAGGTACTACCCCGGTACATTCCTGGAGGAACTGAGGAAAACCATAAAACCCTCAGGATAGTCGGTTTCCCGACTGGAATTCGAATCAGAAAGCCTCCCGAACGTATATCAGAAGCTGCTAGGGACGTTATCTGCACCCTGAAACTTTCGCTGCTCCTAGCTGTTCTGCTGCACAAGGTCACAATACTACGTACAGCTTTACTTACTACGATTACTGCTGTTCAAAACTGGCGCTCCCACCTCAGAAGTTCGTGCGTCAGCTATAATGTTTATCGACTGCAAGAAATTAAAAAGTATCAAATAGCCTCCATTTGACGTAAGTTCGTATCAAGTTTATTCAAAATCCGTCCAACTTTTCTCCAATCGAAACATGCGGATGGGCGGAGAGGCAGATAAGAACTTCCCAAAATGTTTCAGGGAAACATCTGTGACGTAATCGATTCGATAGATATATATTCTTTATCGAACCATACGACTATCACGCCCCTACATGAAGATTTCTGCACTTCTTTCGAAGTATGGGGACTGCTGAAGGGTTAAAATAGAGAAGGAAGCACAATGTGTATGTATGTATGTATGTATGTGTACATATGTACCAAGAGTTAAGGTTAATATTCTGGGAGGTCACAGTATCGGTCATTCTAAGCAAAAAGTGTATATGTACATGCGTCCTATTCCGAACGGTTTCCGAGATACAGCTATTTCACTGTACAGTACACTGTACTCTGTACAGGCCAGGAACACGCCATGTCCTCACACGAGTTGCACCGAGATAGAGCTATTTCACTGTACAGTACACTGTACTCTGTACAGGCCAGGAACACGCCATGCCCTCACACGAGATGCACCGGGAGAGAGCTATTTCACTGTACAGTACACTGCACACTGTACAGAGGAGCAACACGTCATGTCCTAACACGAGTTGCACCGAGAGAGAGCTATTTCACTGAACAGTGCACCGTACACTGTACAGACGAGCAACACGCCATGTCCTCACACGAGCTGCAAGGTGTATTGATGTTGACGGTGGAATTTTCGAAAATGTACTATACTAGGTAAGCTGTAACAACTTTATCACTTGAGCAATAAATGCCGGTATTAGAAACAGTACGTAATATCTCTCTCTTATCAACAAATTTGGAACTGTACAGTGAAGTAGCCTCATCTCGGAAACCGTTCGGAATAGGGCACATGTACATATACACTTTTTGCTTAGAATGACCGATACTGTGACCTCCCAGAATAATGAACTTTCCTCCTGGAGCATCCCGTATAGGGGACCAAAAGTAAACGGAGGATGTCAGGGTATGGACTGCAGAGGCCACAAGACACTGTAATGACATTTCTACTTACGGAGCTTGTAGCTGGGTCCCACCATTCCAATACCTAAAACACAAAGAAACGAATTCTAAGACATTACACGATCCACATACAGCGTGTAAAATTACATCTAATTAATAAGGTGGGATATGACGCAATAAAGACTGGTAGAATACAGAAGCAACAAGATGAAAATATATGGATCGGATCCAGGGAAAGTGTCACTGAGATGCTGCATCGGGTATAATGACCAGAGGCTCCGTCATGCTGAAATTACATAGCAACCTGTGTAGCGAAAGAAACATTCTGTAGCTGTTTTGGTAATCCATTTTGTAGAAAGTCTAGGTAATTATGTTTGTAAGATTTGAGGCTTTCACGGCGGTGACTATGAAGAAAGCAGTCTTCTGGGATTTGGCACCGTGTATATGTGGTGTTAACCGACGTTTCGGAGGAACGTATCGCCCCCATCTTCAGGGTAGAAGAAAAAGTATTAGAAATCTGCAAGCGACAACACCGCTTTACCGTTTCTCACGGTGTTGTCGCTTGCAGATTTCTTATACTTTTTCTTCTACCCTGAAGATGGGGGCGATACGTTCCTCCGAAACGTCGGTTAACACCACATATACACGGTGCCAAATCCCAGAAGACTGCTTTCTTCCTAGGTAATTATGTTTGTTTTTATATGAGACTTTAGTCTCACAGACTGTTACTAGCGTTTCAGATTAATTTTCTGCCTGTCTTCAAGGCAGAAAAATGAGAAGAGGGAAAGCAAGCAGGGAACAAGACAGAACCAGCGCTCTTATTGGTTTGCACAGGAATCCTGCCACCGTGAGTCAACTCTCTCGTTAAAACTGTACCACTTTCTCTCCATGCTTGGTTCATCGTACCCTGAAGATGGTGACAGTTAGTTAATCCGAAATGTTGGCAACTCTCTACGAAATATGCAATGGTATTCCCAGAAGTTGCCGATCACACTGGACGCGCTGTTTAAAGCAGGAAGTGTTTTCGCAGGCTTGAACACTGGGATCGCGTGTTCGAATACTACTCGAGACATGGATGTCTGTCGGCGTTTCTTCTGTTTTTGCTGCCCTGTATATACGTAGAGGGCTTGCGACGGGCTGATCCCTCGTCCAAGGAGTTCTACCGATTGTGTACAAAGCTAAAGCTGTCACTGCACATAACTAATTAAGCACTACGCCATGAAGGCGTACCGGGGAGTAGATGTATAGACCCAGGTTTTCTTGAACTAGGCACTAGCTGTTGGTGGTCAGCTTCACGTTCCGGCCGCTTTACACCCGGGAAAAGAACCCCCGTTACCCATTGGATTTGAGGCTGGGTGGGGCCCAGAGCCGGTCTGGAAGACGTGGAGAACTGAAAATTCTTGACCTTACCGGTACTCGAACTCCGACCTCTCGGTCCTCCAGCCAGCAGCCAATCATTACACTGACTTCGCTATCCCGGCTCATCGCCTGTGTTCATGATTACGAAACTGAACAAGGCGGCCGTGGCCCAAAAGAAGAGCTGCAGAGCCACTGACGAATCAACGAAATTCCCAAAAGTTAAGAGATCCTCACAACATACGGATAATCTTCCTTGACTTCAGTGTCTGTCTAAGTGCAGGAGTTTCTTTCCCGAGTTAGTCGATAGGAAAATTGACTTTGGCAAGCAGTGGGTTTTGGAACGCAAACGTATTAACTTCTGACAATGTGAGAGACAAGACTAAAAAGGAACTTCTTGTGGGCGGCTTTTCCCTTGTTCTACATAAAGAAACTGTGGGTGGGACGCCAGGCGCCTCTCCGGCGACGCGGGTTCTGCACAGGGGAGGCGGTAACTCTGCACCAGTTCAAGTAACGTAATGCTCACTTCGGACGAACATTGCAAAGCCATAAGAGGCTATTAAGAAATTACGTAACCATAGAGTTCATAGAGTCTGAGTTCACCACAAGCGACAGGACTATATATAAAAATGGTGCAGGAGAGAATGGTAATGTTGTAATGATTCGCGTAACATTTTAGTTATTGGAGAAGAAGTAAAGCTCAGTTGGTATAGTGACTACAATTCTGAGAATTGCTCTAGTCCATAAGCCTTTCTCCTGTAGAAATAACACGTCACAGAACTTGGCAAATAACAAAATTTGTGTTGGATAGAAGGTTCTCAAAACTGTCATCACAATGCCTGGGATGTAAAACAAAGTAGTCGTCGACATTTCGGAGGAACATACTGTTTCTATATTCAATATTGAAGAGTAAGCCAAGCAACAGAAAGAAAAGAGGAGACGAGCATGTAAAAGGTAAAAAGGTAAAGTTGTCCCTGTGCTTAACTAATTAAGCACTAAACCATAAAGGTGTATGGGGGAGTGGATGTATAGGTCCATATTTTCTTGACCTCGACACTTACTGGAGGTAAGTGATCAGCTTCACTCCCCCGCCGCTTTAACCCCCGGGACAGAGCCTCCGGTACACATTGGAGAGGAGGTTGGGTAGACCCCAGAGTCCGTCTAGACGACGCGCAGAAGAGAAAAATCATTACCCCACCGGGACTCGAAGTCCGATCGCTTGCTCTAGCCCGTAACTAGTCGTTATATCGACTGTGCTATTCCGGCTCATATGGGAGGAGGAGCTGCGCGTTAAAAATCTAGTTCAGGTAGGACTAAAAATGAGCCCGAGGGTGAGAATACACTAGAAGCCCCTTCCTAGGGTCGACAACGGTAATAAAAAATGAGGCAATCGCTGCTTGTTTCTTCCTCATGTACTGCTTGGCTTATACTTCAACCCTTATAATGGAAACAATAAATTTCCCTGAAACGTCGATGGTCTTTTGCCGGACTACGCGGCGTTACATCACAGTAGATACATAATTTCAAGAATGTTTAATCGTTACCGTATATTTTTACTTTTTTTAATTTTATCGAATTTGAAAAGTATCCTTTGACATTTTTTGTAAGAATTACTTTTCCGTTTCTTGAAAGTTGTTAGCGTTTTCATTTTCCTGAGTTCAGCTGCACTGTCACAGAAAAGTAGGGGAACTGCCACTACTTTATATAATTTTAACTCTGTTTCTAGCCTTACTTTTCTTTTTAACGTTCTGAAGTTGTGAATCATGAACAAAAGTGATAACAGAACGTGGAGGGAGGAACCGTAAGAGACATTACTTTTTAAGGGGGCGCTGAACAGAATTTTCCGGCTTTGGAGGTTCCCAGAGGTTCTCCGGTCCTTTGGTAAATTTATGTAGGAAAGAGAGTAAACTGTTGTGAACTGAAGAAGGTAAAGTGGTAGGGAAGTTCAGCAGTGACTCTACTGAACAAGACGGAATTTTATATTAACGTTTGAAGGGCTGCATTACAATGACATTATGATTTTAAGGTTGGGCGAAATCTTAATGTAAAGGCTGGGAGGAGCTGCAGGTGTAGTATGCGATGCAACGTGGAATTTTCATACCAAAATAAAAAGGTAAGGTAAAAAATATAAAGCTATCGCTGTAACAGGCCATGGAGGCCCATATGATTGTGAGACGTCGAGGCTCCCGCACTTTACAATCTGCTCACAGATGGCGGTGAGCCTTTCAGCCTTACGCGCCAGCCGGCAGCCTTTATCCTCATGAAGATTCCTGGTACTTATTTCTGTTAGAGGCTGATTCAGCCGCAGGGCACAGTGCGGCTGGAAGGATTAGGTTAATTTAAAAATCCGCTGAACTCATTGGGATTAGATCTCACGACCTTCCAGTTTGCAGTACAGTGCCTCAACCAACTATGCTACCGCGTGTCCCTTTGCATATCTAAATAATACATAAAAATTCCGTTGTACCTCACAGGAAAAACATTACGTCTCTGGTATAAAAACCAGCCCGTTGATGTAGTTTGGGGAAACAGTCCATTAGAGCACACAATCAATGTTCTCAGTCCGTTACTAGTCGTTTCCTGGTAACGGCTTCAACAGTGGCTATTCATCTGTCTTCGGGCTCAACTCCTCTCTTCACAAACTACCGTATAGAACTGAACTCGGTCGCTCCACCTGTCTTTCTTGTAACTCCTGGGGCGGACTGAATACAAACCTTCCTTTCCAGCAGTACCTCTATTGTTGCTCGTCGATTTGTTACTTTGGGAACGTGTTTACAAAGCGGATGCCTAGAAACGGCTCTACACGCTATAATATGTTAAAGCAGGCGATACATATGTATCATACATCACCACTGAGCTTTTAAGGGTCAATATTCTATTACTCCTCCCATATAATCGTTGAAACTGATGTAATGCTATTTCTATAAATGAAACAACATTCCTTCCTCAGATACATACTTCTTCACATTTTGCCCATCAATCATATACTTAAGTATAAAAATGACCGAATAATGGGTGGCTTCCATTACGGATATACTCGTAGCGTCGAATGGTAGGATGGCTAATGCATACTGAATTATAAAATATTTTGCAAGAAAATGGCCGTGGCCTAATCTAGAAACCATTCCGGGATCTTCTCGAAGGGGCTGAGAAAAAACATGAAAAACGTCGTGTAAGATTTAGGGTTCTCACACCTGATTATGAAAAATTATGTCTTCCGGGATACGTAGTATAAGGCCGTGTTGTCCGTTGAAATTCAACCGCAGTTTTGGAGGAATATGTCGCCTTCAACTTCAAGGTCAAAGAAACCAGCATGAAGCAGATAGCAAGCAGATCTATGCAAGTTTAGTAGGAACCTCACTTTCCGCTATAAATATTAATGTTGTTTTACTGCTCGGCTTGGAATAGATGCTTCTTTTACGCAATGAATACAAACTCAACTGCTTCTCTATAAAATTTGAGCGTCTCCTTTATTTTTCGAAATGACGTCATATCACATTCATGTACCAGTCATCAGAAGAACACGCCGCTTCATGACAATGGCTGTATGGCCAATTACTCTTATCACAGTCGCACTCAAACACGTTTCGTTCCATTGCAGTTGATGTATCGTCGTTAACTCCATAAAAATGGGTGAAAGTTAAAATCTTCCCTGTACTTAACTAATTAAGCATTGCGCCATGAGGGCGTGTGGGGCAGTGGATATATAGATCGACGTTTTCTTG